TGGACCACAGTAAGACGAACACAGAGAGCAGAGCAGCTGGCCCCAGCGCCAAGCCTGGGATCCACCTATGCTCAGGCAGAAGCAGCCACCAGGACAGGTCACTGAGAGGTGGGACTGCTTGCTGGAACCCCAAGAGTCAGGGTGGGACTTCAGAAGCCAGGTGAACGCAGAACCTCATTCCGAGGGGGATGAGCCACAAATCAAATAGTGCTGGGCCATCCGTCTTCCTGGACTTTCGAAGGCCAGCAAGAGACCAGGTCTTGTGGACAGGCCCTCTGCCTGCGATGTCCTTCCTAACTTGGTCACCTAGTGTGCTTGGCTCACTTGTCCCCTTTCTGTGGCTGCATCTCATGGATTTAAGCTGGGCGGCAATGTCCCTCTTGACCCATAAGCTGGGTTGACTACATCCATCTCCCTGGCCCCACAGCACTGTGTGCACGTCACATTTCACTGAGGTGGTGGCTGCAGGAAGGCTCTGGATGTGAACTCGGAGGTCTGACAGACCCCAGTTTGAGTCACAGCTCCAACACTGCCTAGCTGTGTGGCATGGAGAAGTTGACCTGACATCTCTGTGCCCCAGCTTTCTCATGTAGGGTCCATAATTTCCTTTCTACCGCATCTGCTTTTGCTGACAATTAAAGTAAGTGACCCCTGTGGAGCACTCGGTTGCCCCAGCATGTAGATACCCTCTGTTAACTGGGTTCTTTGGTCACCAACAGCCACTGCTTGTGACTAACATAAACACAACTTAAAGAAACTAAACTGATCAGGCCTTGGAAGAGATGAAAAGATGAGATCAGCAGAAATAAGTGGCCGATTCCATTGGGGTGCTTCTGGCCCAACAGACAGACTCCGCCCTCTCTGACCACTGGTCATTCTGTTAGTATCCCACGGTGAGGGAGTCTGGTCTGGCTTGGTGGCAGCACAGCTAGGAGGTGTGCTGAGCAGGTGTGTGCTCTTCTGTCCTAGTCCCGTGCCAGGGCAGCCTCAAGCCACATGCACCCACTGAGTCCTGCGGCCTCTGAACCTGTGACCTGCAGGCCAGAGCAACCTGACTGAGTCAACCTCACAGTCCCAGAGGAAGGGACTTAAAAAGGAAGCATTGGGGACAGAGAAAATATGCACAAGAAAATCCATGGACCTCGTAGTATTGGTCTGACCCGTCTTTGTTAGAGATCCATGAAGTTCCTGCTGGAGGACAGCATGTACCATGGTGTCTCCTCAATGTCTGCACATCTACTGTCCTTTGTGACCCTTGGTCTTCAGGGAAAGTACATCTGTCTTCTCTATGAGGTCAGTGTGACATAGCTGGACACATTTTTGATCCTAACAGACTATAAGTTAGTTAACCGCTTTGCAAGTAGAACTGATCATTTGCATTAGACATTTTCTCTAATTCTTTGTTCTTTAATTATAAAATGAGAACTAAATCAGGTGGAGGATTCCTGTTCCATGCCTACCTCATAGAAGGCTCCAGAGAAAAGTCTGCTGTTACCTTTGCGGTATCGATGTTGTCATTACTATAGATTCCTAACTTCCTTCCCAATGTCTGGTGCCTAACAGGTATTCAGCAGGTGCTTAATGAATGAGCAATTTGTACTTTTATACATACACATGATCATATACATATAATTTAATTGAATATATATATATATATATATATTAGGAAAGTGCTCAAACAAGGGTTAGCTACTAGTAGATCATAGCTATTATAATAATGTGAACTGATGATTCCATTTCCAGTGAGGATATAAAGAGTTCTTCTTATATCTTTATTTATATTAATATATACTTGACACACAAAAGTTGTGCACTCAATTATATATTTATTTCATAATGTGTTATTACATGGTATACAATGATGTTTTGATATATGTGTACATTGTGAAATGGCTCAATTAAATTAATAATTTCATCAATTCACTTGATTTTTGTTGTCAGAACATTTATCATCTACTCTCAGCAATTTCTAAATGTACATTAACTCTAATAATTATGATATACAATATATCTCTGGGACTTATTCATTCTAACAGAAATTAGAAATTCCCCATACCTTCCACCCCTATGCTCTGGAGACCACCATTCTATTCTCTGCTTCCATGAGTTGGCCTTTTTCATGTTACACATGTGCACTGTCTATGCCTGGCTTATATCATTTAGCACAATGTCCTCCAGTTTCATCCACTTTGTCACAAATGACAGGATTTATTTCTTTTTAAAGATTGAATTTTATTCCATTGGATATACCACATTTTAAATATTCATTCATCTGTTACAGACAGGATGTTTCAGTGTCTTGGCTATTGTGAATAATGTTGCAATGAACGTGGGAGTGCAGACTTCACTTCAGCATACTGATTTAATAGCCTTTGGCTATATACCCAGAAGGGCGATTGCTGGAACCAGGGTGTAAACAATTATCTGCCATATGGTCAAACAGCATTTTCTAATATTGGTTATTTTTGATATTTAATACTTATTAGTGTTTTTTCCATCATCAAAACTCAGTTTAATGCAAAAGGGTAAACTAAAAGTATATGTCAAGGTTTTAAAAGCATGCATGCATTACTAAATATTTCAATTTCTAAGTGTTAATCCTAAATAATCATGCACCAAATTGGGCTATATGAATGCTTATGGTGGTTTATTTATAAAAAATATTAATTACAAAGGAAAAAAAAGGGCTGGTAACATGGACCAGATGTAGAGGTCCAATACCCAGCATCTCAAAACAACAAGAATCTGACTGCTACAAAAAGGTTGGGAAAATAAATCATGGAAATAAATAAAATAGAATGATATGCATCTATTTAAAACATTTTCATTTTTATTAGCACATTATAATTATACATAATAGTGGAGTTCATTCTGATACAATCATACATGACTAGAATGTGATTTGCTCCATTTCAGTCCCAGATACTTCCTTTTTCCCTTCCCTCTTCCCTGTCTCTATTCCCTTCCTCAACTCTACAGATCTTCCTTCTATGTATTTATTGTTTTTTTTTAAATTGGTGCTTTATAGGTGCACATGAAGGTGGAATTCATCATGGTACAATCATATATGTACAGATCATAAATTTGGTCAATTTATTCTGCATCCTCTCCTTTACAGTCCCTCCTCCTTCCCCTTCAATCCTCCTCTTCTACTACTTTGGTCTCCCTTCTATTTGCATGGGGCCCCTGCCTTTTCCCCCTTATTTTGCTCTAGCTTCAGCATATGAGAGAAAACATTTGCCCTTGATTTTCTGAGTCTCATTTACTTCACAAATGCCACGATTTCATCCCTCTTTATGGCTGACTAGAATTCCATTATATATATTACATTTTCTTTATCTTTTCATCTGTTGATGTGCACCTAGACTGGATCCATTACTCCCCTATTGTGCACTGTACTGCTATAAACATTGGTATGCATGGATCGCTATAGTATGCTAATTTTAAAGCACTTTAACTTTTAATATTTAATGATATAGAAATAAAAAATGTATTAAGTACATTATGATCTCTTTTAAAAGAATCTGATGATTGTGGAGGGGTTGTGCATATACATCTATGTATGTATGTATATGAGGGGATTGATAGAGGTTCCTTAGTCATACACCAAAATATCAGTAATAGTGTTTATTTCTGGATTGTTCATTTATGAGCAATTTTTGTTCTTTTCTTTTTGCTTTTCTAAGTTTTCCACATAGTCTATATTACTTTTGAAGTATGGAAAAATTAATAAAAAGAAATAAACAATGCAGTGAATTAAAATCTTGAAAACAGGGAGGGGGCACGGGGGTAGGAATGATGGTGGAATGAGTTAGACATGACTACCCTAAGTACATGTACATAGACACGAACAGTGTGAAATACTTTGTGTACAATCAATGACTTGAAAAATTGTGCTCTATATGTGTCATATGAAATAAACTGCATTCTGCTATCATGTATACCAAATTAGAATAAATAATTTAGTTAAAATAATAAACGAATATTTGTTATACAACTTAAACAAATAAAATCTTGAAAACATAAAGACAGTTTTTGACAAACAAAGAGAGAAATCTTTTTAGCTTGTTTACAATGTAAAGATCTAATAAACAGAAGTGCTCAATAGCTTCCTGGACATTCCCTGAATTCACATGAGTTTTTGCCACAAACTAATGTGAAATCTGAAAAATTACTTTACCTATTAGCACCCACCCACTCACACAGGTGAAGAAATAGGAAAAAATTGGCCTAAAATATGTAGAAAAAAAATTCTTCCTTTATTTAAACAGAACAAAACTAATTTTTATCCTGACAGTCTTAATAAAACTTCAAAAGTGATTTAAATGTTTACAAAAGAAGAACTCCAAAAAGATTTAAAAAATATAACATTTTGTGTAAGAGATATTTGAAAATATTTTATTATGCAAGAATTTGGCTTCACCTGAATAGACCAATATAATTGTACAAGGTATTTTCCAAATGTTATAATAATTGTGGTTATGTAAAAGCTAACCCTTTACCCTGACCATTTTAATAACAATTATAGTTGGATACTACGGTGGCTCTCCCCTGTAATCCCAATGACTGGGGGCATGGGGGGTTATGGCAGGAGGATCCCAAGTTCAAAGTCAGACTCAGCATTTAGTGAGGCTCTAAGCAACTTAAAAAGACCCTGTCTCAAAATAAAACATAAAAATGGCTGGGGATGAGGCTCAGTGGTTAATCACCCCTGGGTTTAATTCCCAGTACCAAAATCATAATAACAACATCATTCATTACAAATAAATACCTTTTAGTCTTGTTTCTTTTTAACCTCTTCACTGAGCAAACATTCCCTGGAGGAAACTGAATCCTTCTAAAATTAATTTTCACTAACAATCACTAAAAGGCGAGCTCTTCCCACCACTCTTTGTGGAGGCCTTCAACAGGGAACACACTGATGTCCTGAAGAAATGGTGCAGGCCTGGCCCTTCACCTGCCTGCCCTTGGGGTCCCTGATGAGGAAGCCACAGCTGTAGATGATCCTAGTGGCACTGGATGGGCTGGACATGCTGCTTGCCCAGCAGGATCACCTCAGGTAAGGGAGACCCAGGTGGCCTGGAAGGGAGTGCCCTGAGGTCCATGGAAGTGATGGCTGTGGGTGGGGAGACTGGGTGCTGAAGTGTGCCAGCAGACAGGATAGTAGAGGCCTTTGCCATGCTGAGACCCATCTGGGAAAGTGTCCAGATGAGGTGGGTGCTTGTGGCAGCTGCAGTGACCCCTGAAGGGGGCTGAATCTGCCCCACCCTCAGCTGCTACAGTTCGGGTCAGCAGCCTGTATTGGAGGAAAGTTAGAGGATAAAAGCTAGACAGAAGGAAGAGATGGGGCAGGGAGCAGCAGCTAAGAGGTGAAGGAAGGGGCCTCAGGGCTGAGACTCTGCTGTCATCCCCGCAGGAGGTGGAAACTGTAGGTGCTGGATTTGTGGAATGTTCCTAGGAACTTCTGGAGGATGTGGTCTGGAGCCGTGGTCGATGCCTGCTCACCAGAGGCTATTAAGAAGAATCAAATGTTGAAACATGGTCCAGCAATGGCAGCTAAGCCACTCTTCAAAGTTTTCATAGACTTCAGCATCACAAAAAGGGCCCTGGATGATTTGCTGTCCCACTTGTTCCTGTGGGTCAGACAGAGAAGGGACAGGCTGCACCTGTGTTGCAATAGGCTGAAGATCTTTGGGAAACCCACCCGTCACACCAGGAAGGTCCTGAGACTGCTGCAGCTGGACTCTGTCCAGAAGGTGGAAGTGCACTGCACCTGGACGCCCTCCACCTTGGCTGTTTGTGCTCCTTTCTAGGGCCAGATGAGGAACCTGAGGAAGCTGCACGTGTCCCAGGTTCGTGTGCCTGCCCACTCCTCCCCAGAGGAGCAGGAGTGGCTGCTTGCCCAGCTCACCTTACAGTTCCTCAGGATGGACTGCCTGTGGAAGTTCTGTGTGGATGCTGTCCTCCTTGAGGGCCACCTGGAGCAGGTGCTGGGGCGAGTAAGGGGGGTGAGCTTCCTCTGCAGACCAGTTACAGGAAATATGAAAGGGCTTTTACTGTGTGCCAGCCACTGACACTCTCATGGTGAACAAGACACTAGAAGGTAAATAACCCATCATCTGTTCCTACTGTATCCTGAAGCTCGATCTCATAACCTGTGTTAGAGCAAAGGGCTAAACTGGGGCCCAGGGTCTGGGAAGTGACATCATGCTGGAAAGCCAGCTGATGGGGACAAGATTTAGTGAGGTTGGTTGAGGTTTCTTTCCTGAGATGCCTGTCTAGTAACAAGGGTGCAAAGCAGGGTAGAGGAGAGGGCATTGAAGGAGGGTTAGTCCCCACACCTGTACCCCAACAGGGAAACTCTGTGCTCTCCAGCTGGGAGCAGAGGAACCCACCTCTACTGCCCATGTAAGGAAGGTTGTTCTGAGCTCCAGGTAGTGATGTAGTGATTCTGCAGTCTAGGGTGAGGAGCAGGGATGAAGGCCTTGGTTAGGGTGCAGGGTGTAAACTCTGCGGGCGTTAACCCCAGTAGGTTTTGTTACGTCTTGCCTGGATTTGTTCTTCTTACATGACTCCCTCCGACCTCCTCTGACCAGAAATGTGGCTTTCTGCTTGTTATTGAGGATGGGGTTCTTAGAGATGGTGGATCCACCTGGTCACAAAAGTGGTGGTAAAAGGCTTAGATTGAAATGGGGTGACTGAACGGACAGATTCTGCAAAATGTGGTGACATTGGGTTTGGGCCAATTCATTTTCTCCCTCAGATCTAACTGCCTTGTTTCTCCTTAGGCACTTGAAAGACCCCCCCCCCCCCCCGGAGGCCCTCTAAATAACCAACTGCCCGCTGTCAGACTCAGACTGGAATTATCTTGCCCAAACACTAACCAGCTCAGACACCTGGATCAAAGAGGTATCAAACTGACCAATTTCAGTCCAGTGCCCCTCCAAATTCTTCTGGAGACTATTGCAGCCACCCCGAAGAGCCTGGACTTGGAATCCTGTGAGATCGCAGACTCCCAGCTCCAAGCCATCCTGCCTGCCCTGAGCCGCTGCTCCCAGCTCAGGATCTTGTGCTTTTTTGGGAACCGCATCTCCATGTCAGTTCTTAGGGACCTGCTGCTTCACACTGCCAGGCTGAGCCAGTTGAGCATAGAACTGTACCCTGCCCCTCCTGAGAGCTCTGATGCCCAGAGTGCCATCCACCCAGGGAGATGTTCCCAACTCTGTGCTGAGATCACAGCAATACTGAAGGACTTTAGGCAACCAAACGTCTTTGTGTTCTGTACTGTCTCATGTCCTCAATGTGGCCGCATGTTCCTCTACAACCAGGGCCTCATTAACTGTTCCTGTCCAACAGCTGCCTAGTTGGGTGTGTATAAAAATCTTTCTTCTAGGCAATTGGAGGTATAACCATGCTGTAGTATTATTGTGAAGGAAACAGAGTCCAGCATTTCAGACACCACCTGAAATGTGGATGGGGAAAGGAAACTGAAGCAGGGGGATACATTGGAAGGACCCCTTGAAGATTGGACCTCTGTATATAGCCAAATGTGTCTGTATAGAATCATAACTAGGGACCTGGATTTCTAGAATGGGATTTAGGCTTCATGAACATATGAAGAAGCTCTTTTGTTTCATGGATGGTCCATAAATAAATAGTCAGAAATGAACAGAATTTCAAGGTTAGTCTTCTCATGTCCTCAGTGATGAATTTACCAGGATTTCTAATTTAAACCTTGGAATTCTCCAGGTGCTTATGGAGAAACATGGCACTGGGTTCTCAGTGATCAATGAGGTTCAGCCCCGGGAACTCAAGGCATCAAACTGAAATTTGGTCATTATGTGTGGTGGCTACTCTGTGGATTAAGGCATACAGGTACCCACGGCAGGCCTGGAACATTCTAAGTGGTCAGTGAAATTGGAAGAAAACCATTCCTCAGGTGACTTCAGTGCCATCCAGACACTCAGTGATGGCCCCTCCTTGTGGGTCTCTGTGTAGACCCAGAAACCTTGGGTCCTGGGCTTTGGCTGCACTGGCAACAGGCCAGAGCCTCTGGGCCTCACCAAACCTTGCCTGCCATCCTACTGGGTAGTCTTTCCTCAATTAAACTAGCAGTGTGTACCAATAAAGGTATCCAGATTACCTTTCAGCAAAATGGTAGAATCATATATGTAGATGACACTTGCAAACATTTCCAGTCTCTCCCTACCCAGGGACACAAGATGGCATCTTTTAATCAGCAGATGGTGAGAGGATGAGTAAGGATAGGGTAGCTCTGGGGAAATGCATGACACTGATGTGCTGCCTGGTCTGAGACCAAGATCCCCTAAGTGACGGCTCCTGCTGAGGGCTCATGCTAGTGGGGTTGTGCAGTGACCTTAGCCTTAGCTTCCCATCTGAGGAGAAGGAAGTCCACCCAATTTTTATTTGAATTTTCCTAAAGCTGCTTGTTTATGTGTTTTAATTTGAACCTGAAGACTTCTCCACAAATAGTGAAAGGGAACCTAATTTGATGTGTAACAGACTGTAGCTCCCTCTAAGAACAGGTTGCAGAGTCCCAGCCATGCACAGCCAGCCCATCTGGCCCCCACACAGAGATCTTTGTGCTTCACCACAGTTTATGACACTTCCTTTCCTCGGGCTCTAAGTCTAGCTTGCACTTGTGGCAGGTGGAAAGTTCAACAGAATTCATTCTGCACTACTGCTGGATTTAGGATCAAATAAATGCAAGAAAGATCTGCAGTACGAGATTCGTCATCATTTGTTCTTTTAAGGATCTTCATGATCAAAAAGGGACTTGAAGATATTCTGGTGTGTCCAGACTCCTTGAATTGTATAAGGACTGTGAGGTCCATGTGTCCCCATACAGCCCTGGGGATTAAAGCACCCAGACTGCTATTTGAGCTCCTCATCTTTTGACTCTAGTTTTATGTGTGCTGTGAGAGAGCATACGAATATAGGATGTCATGACAAACAGGACCGGGTGTGTAAGTGTGGCTGGGTCAGAAGGGGACTGGGTTCCACTCCCTGGAGTGCTACTCAAAGATGCACATTCCTTTGTGCGTCTGCATCAAAAGAGTCTAGATCCCCTTCTGGGACACTGGCCAATTTCACCTGTACAATCTAGGAACCCAGAACCCATGCTTTTCTACAGAAATGAGTGAACTTCATAAAAATTAACTGAGGGCCTGGGGACATAGCTCAGTGGTAGAGCACTTGCCTAGCATGTGGAAGGACCTGGGTTCCATCCCCAGAACCACGAAAGTACATAAACAAATAAGTGAATAAATAAATCCAATATTGACGTGATTCCAGGGGAAAGTTTTCATTTGAAGAAAATTGTCTGTGAGGAGTACTTGAAAAGAAAGAACCAGAACCCACATGAAAACAATCGAATGCATTTTTTAATTGGTGTGCACAGGAATGGAAAAATGATCTCCTTAAAGATTCTTTTCCAAAAACAACAGAAATCCTGGGTTGGTGTTGAAGGGAAAGTGAGGAAGAAGAGACAGATAAGCAAGAAATGAAAGACGAGACCAGGCAGAGATACACAGGAGAGTTTATTTTTCAGACTTGACAAGTAAAGGCCATCTCTCTATAGGAGAGAGGGGCAAAACTGGCTTCAGTTCTGGGAAATTTAAGGGGGAGGATCAGGAATCAGAGCCCAGTGGGTCCTCATGCAGATGGTTAAGTGTTGGGTTGGTATGAAGATGAGGTGAGCCTTTCTCAGAAATGCCCTTTGGTGGGAAAATGAAATGTTTTCCTTAATATGGGAGCTGTCACTTAAGATGGCCATCCAGGTGCTAAGCAGTGACCTTATAGTGAGAAACTGATGTGACTCCATGTTTGAAATAACCAGCCTCTACCTCAGAGCAGGGCCTGTCCAAAGTGGGGCGGGGGGAGATCCAGCATTCCTAGGCACATAGCTACCCCTAACTGCAGTGACCAGATAGCCTTGACTCAACAATGCAAGACCAAAGAATGCTTGAGACCTAATTTTGGACTATAGCAACAACCAATCAGAGTGAGACAGGGAACATATCTGAAATGCCAGGTGACCCTCCCAGTAGTTTTGGTGATTGATAACATGTTAGAAAACCATGTAGTTTAGTGCATACACCCCTCACAGCTTAAACCAATCAGTTCAAATGTATCCACCTCTTGAACTAACCAATCACCCTTACCCAACTTGTTCCCACCAGTGAATGTTAAAGTTAAGAGTTTTTGTTTGATTTTCTCACGGTGTGAAATGATTTGCTGTGTGATGGATGTTGTGATGCATAGAGTATCCAAAAAAACCCTATAAATCCTCACTGAACTAAGGGCCAGGACTCACTCCCTGGGACTGCTGCATTGGAAATGGTTGTGAGTCCAATCTGGAGCTTGCAATAAAGACTCTTGTGTGATTGCATCAGATTCAGCTCCTGGAGGTCTAATGGGGTCCCACGAATCTGGCATTACAATAGGTACTAAAAAGAAAAGAAAAATTGGAAGGGAGTTGTTAGAGACACAGCAGAGACGCCTAAAACCTTACACTACCCTTGGGGACAGGGACAGAGAAGCAGTCTTTGGTTCCCCTACAAGGAAAAGTTGTTTGGGGGGGATTGGCTCAGCAAACAGGCTTGAGAAGTATAAGATTCTTGCTTAGTATCGGGATGGCCATTTTAAGTGACAGCAGCCATTTTAAAGAAAAAAATTTTGCTTTCCCACCCAACCCTAACCACTCATATTAGGACCCACCTTGGCTCTGATTCCTGAGCCTCCCAGCATAGGGTTCCCTGGTGTGCCCAATCTCCCCTTTGAGGTTCACTGAGTTTCCCCTGGCCTCAATCTGGATTCCATCATGGAATTAGGCTTCTCCATTCTGCCAAAGGCCCTCTCTGCCCCCACCACCATACATTTCATCTCCAGTCAACCTAAAGGACCTACAGTTCCTGGGAAGCGATGGGTGATCATCTGGCACTCTATGTGGTTGGGATCACCCCCAGAACAACATTCACAGCTACTGCTGATCCCTCCTATTGACTCAGTGTATAAGTGGTCATTTATTTGGGTCCTGGGTTTTGAGACAATACCACCAAGGATGATTGGGAGTTGTTCCTGGTAAGACTACCTCTCAGCCTTGGGTTAATCTCTATGAACTTTTCCCCCATCTATGGGTGTCTGTCCCTTATACGGCTTTTGCTCCTACTACATAGTCCTGGCTGGTTCCCAAGTGCCTCTATGGGCTCCTGGTCTTATGCTTACCCAGCGGGGTTGACAGCCACTTGAGCATAACCATGCTCTCAACAAGACTGGGGGACTGCCCACGTTTAAACTCACATCCTATGTCTCATGGGTGGCTTTTCACCCATCCCCTCCCAGAATCCTCTAGGCTGCCTCCTGGCTAACCTAGGGTCTCTTTCACCCCAGATCTAAACCCTGCAAAACTTATCTGCTTGTGCAATCAGATCTGGTTTCAATATCCTTTGAATAATGACTCTTAATTGCCGCTTGAGGGCACTCTAGACCCCTATGCTATCAGGGATCTCTTCAACTATTCTGAGTGTTCGGGAAAATGGAAAGAGACATCATATGCTCAGGCCTTCTCTTTTCCATGTCCTAATCCCTCTCTCTCCAGCTCTTGCTCTACCACACAAGTCCTCTTAGCCCTCACCTCCCCTACACCTTTTTCCAAAGGGACAGAGGATTCTACCCAGGACTCTTCCTCCTTTGACCCAATGAGTGAGACACTCACCTTGCCACAGTTCTCCTGATGAAGCTACCACAGCAACTGTCCCCTTGGCCCCTCCACCTTCTCTCCTCCCGCCACACGCTCACAGGCTGCCAATGCCCAACCCACATCTCTGTGTCTGATACACGAGGTGGCTGGGGTAGATGGTATAACCCGGGCTCATGTGCCTTTCTCTTTGTCAGATCTTTCCGAGACAGAAAAGTGGCTTGGGTTCATACTTCAAGCCCCACCACATATATCAAAGAGTTTCAATATCTGACTCAATCATATTATTTGACCTTCCATGATGTCCATTTGATCTTGTCTAACACCCTCTTGCCTGAGGACCATAGGCGAGTTTGGGAGCAAGCTAGAAATTATACTGAAATACATTATACATCAGACCTCCCCTGCCCATCTGATTGACATTGAAGCAGTCCCTGATTGGGACCCCAACAGGGATTATAATTTTCCTGGAGGAATAACTAGTAGAAACCAATGCATTACTTGCCTCATGAAAGGACTTAGAAAGGCAGCCCATAAGGTTACCAATTATGAAACGCTCCAAGAAGAATTCCAAGATAATATTGAAAACACTTCAGCATTTTCAGATCGCCTGACTAAGGCTTTATTACAATATATTAATCTGGA